GTGTGTCGTGTGTGTGTCGTGTGTGTGTGTGTGTGTGTGTGTGTGTAGTGTGTGTGTGTGTCGTGTGTGTGTGTGTGTGTGTGTGTGTGTGTGTGTGTGTGTGTGTGTGTGTGTGTGTGTGTGTGTGTGTGTGTGTTTGCGTGTGTTGGTATGTGGGGCGTGTGTGTTTGTGTGTGTTTGTGTGTGTGTGTGTGTGTGTGTGTGTGTATTTCTGCGTGCGTGCGTGCGCGTGTGTATGGTGTACTCAATCGTTGTGAGCCATTACTCGTTTTATACATAATAATAAGCTCGTCGTGGCGACGCGATGATAGCGACAGTAGAACGTCGCGTCCCGTATAGAGGCGCCGCTTACACTTCGCCACGTGTCGTTTAAGCACATTTTCGTTGCATAACGCTGCACTTCTTTAGGCGTCATTCGCATCTGCTTGGAGGAGATTTACGAGCGCCATCTAGAGGTGAGCGGTGGCAAAGGTGGCGGGGCGATGTCCGCCGTGTCCAATCCTGCGCGCGGTATTGTTAACCGCGCGTTTGACGGATGTCCAGGTACTAGCGGCCGCACGCGCGTGCATACGGTGGTGGAGGACGCTTCCTTGGTGCAGGATGCTTCGGTGGTGGAGGATTCTTTGGTGGTGGGGGGGGGGGCGCTGCATGCTGGGGGTGGGCTAGCATGACGCATACCGCTCGCTGCAATGGCGTGTGACGTCACATCCGGAATTCCGTCAAAATCGCTCCGATGGCGTTTCGTTGATTTTACGCATCATGTTCTTTGTCTTATATTGTTACGATTGATGCGTCCAATGCTGATGTAGTGGTGCTTGTGTCACGGTGGCCAGCTCCAACACTATCATCATCATCATCGTTACTCATTAGAGGCTTAACCTCATGAGTCCGGGGAATCCGACCACCCGCAGTGGTCGCGAATTCACCGTTTGAATCTCAAACGTTCTCGCATCATTGGAGTTGTCCTTTGTCCATTCCCAATACTCGCTCCATTCTCAGCCATCTATCAGGCTGTCGGCACTTCCCTTGACATGGTAAAATTATCCATTCGTACACAGTGACCAAGCCATTCGATGTAAATCCGCTCTTGATAGACTTTTAGTGATTTGGCTCCCGTTAGTCGGTAGATATCTGCATTGGGGTAGATAAATACATAGTCCCAGTCCCCTGCCGCCCTCTTGTCATCAGATATGGTGTTGGACACATTTTTTGTGTCGAGAGAGGAAAACAGGACGCCAATATACTTGAACTCCGTAGTGTTAACGATGTTATGGTCATCGAGCTTGACCAGAGTTGTAGCTGTTGTGTCATCGGTGTTACCATTAAAGACCATCGTCTCTGTCTTCTTGCGACTTACTGATACTGAACACTATACAGGATAGCTCAAAATGAAATGCAGCTCATTTAACTCTCAACAAAGATATAGATACGTTGATTCTACCATTAATCCATCCCTCAATCATCCATCCATCCTTCATCCATGTGTACCTACCTTCTCGAGCATTACTCTCTCTCTCTCTCTCTCGGTAACTGTAACCACAAATTTTTTGAGCCATATGACGCTTTCATTGTACACTTTATCCTCCAGTCTCTCTCTGTCTCTCACTCACTCTTTCTCTCTCGCACTCTATTTCTCGGTCTCTCTCGCTCTTTCTTTCTCTCTCTCTCTCTCTGTCCCTATATATATACTAGCGGGATACCCGGCGTTACCCGGGGAAATCAGTGGCGTTACTCAGTTGGTGACCGCTTGGTTGAAAGGAAAATACCCACGAAAATCTAACTATCTATCTATCCATGCATCCATCTATCCATCCATCCATCCATCCCATTCCATGCCATGCCATGCCATCCTATCTCATTGCACCGCATCCTATCCCATCCCATCCCATATCCCATATCCCATCCCATGCCATCCCATGACATCCCATGCCATGCCATGCCATGCCATGCCATGCCATGCCATGCTATCCCATCCCATCCCATCCCATCGCACCGCACCGCATCCCATCCCATCCCATCCCATTCCATGCCATCGCATGCCATCCCATCTCATCCCAAACAGTAAAAAACAATAAGAAATAAAAAAATAAAAGACATTAAAAATAAAAAATAAAAATAAAAAAGTAAGAAATTAAAAATAATACATACTAAAGAGGTAGGTAAAGGGGGGAAAAAGGGAAAATAAGTTTCCCAGCTGGGACTCGAACCCGGAATCTTGGTGTAGGAGACGGATGTTCTAGCGATTATGGCACTGCGCCGTTAAGGGCATACACCATGGATTCACACGTACGTGATGTTTTAATCTGTACGCACCGCCATCTTTTGATGAATAGAATTTTTATCAATTTTTACCTTTTTAACTTTTTTTAATTTTTCAAAAAAAAACCTCCCAGACGTGCTAATTCTGAAAATATCTTTAGTTTTCCTCTTGGCTGCGGAGTTCTCTAGTTATGCGACCTCCCTACCTCCCACCCACTTCCACCCACTCTCACCCCGGTGCGCGTGGCTCGACCCGCGATGCCATTAAACGCGTTAGCAGATAACTCTTACGCGCCGTATGTTCTGAGGTCGTTTCGCGGCAGGCGGCGGCGGCAACGGCGGCGGCGGACCGCCTGCCTCCGCGGGCCGCACGTAACCGTGGCAACGCGCGGCGGCGAATCAAATTACGGCATAGGCTCTAGAGTGCGTAGCTGGCTTTTGTTGGGTGAATGATTGTCGTCGCCGAAGTCGGCTTTTAGAAGTTAACTAATCTAGCATGCAGTCCGTCGTTTTCGAGTAATTAGCATGACGCGAAGTGTGGAGGCGCGCAAACTAGTAAAGAATGTATATGTGCGTGCGTGTGTATGACGTGCGTTCGTTCGTATATGCATACATGCGGGCGCGTAGGTTTGCGTGCGTCCGTCCGTATATGCGTGCATGCGTACATGCGTTCATGCGTGCGTACGTTCGTGCATCCGTGCGTGCTTGCGTACGTACGTTCGTGCATCCGTGCGTGCTTGCGTACGTACGTTCGTGC